AAGAAGGTCAGCATTGTGTTTTTGCCATATCAAAGGGGGAACCGAGGCAGGAGGCCAACTCACCCTAAGGTCATCTTGCAAGGCTTGCAGACTCTGCATAAGTGCCACCACTCCCAAAGACCCAGGAGTTTGGTCACAGAAGAGGAAAATATTTATAATATCTTACCTTGTTCCTTGCAAGGAGGCCCATTCACTGTGAGCTCCTGCTAATTACTTTGCTAAGTTCATCAAGAGAGAAGATATCCTGTCCTGTGTGTGCATACTTTCTGGTCCTAGGAACACCCAGGTCTCACTAGGCACCTCACAAGATCTGTGCATGCTCTTTAAATGCCTCGTGCATCCTTGCAGAGCAGCAGGTGTTGGTGATTATCCCACAGGAAAGGAGTAAGATGAAGGATTCCCTGCCTAAATTCAGGTCAGAATCATCCTTATTGGTATAAAAAAAAAAAATATTTAATTATTTAATGCTTTTAAAACACACAGATTAGCTTCTGTCTATGGTCTTTGGTTCATTCCTCTCATTTTATAAAATAACTTTAGAGATGTAGCAGAATCACAGAATCACAGAATCACAGAATCACAATCTAGGTTGGAAGAGACCTCCAAGATCACCTAGTCCAACCTCTGACTTAACACTAACAAGTCCTCCACTAAACCACATCACCAAGCTCTAACTCTAATTGTCTTTTAAAGACCTCCATGAATGGTGACTCAACCACTTCCCTAGGCAGCCCATTCCAATGCCTAATAACCCTTTCAGTAAAGACATTCTTCCTAATATCCAACCTAAACTTCCCCTAGTGCAACTTTAGCCCATTCCCCTTTATCCTGTCACCAGGCACATGGGAGAATAGACCAATCCCCACCTTGCTACAGCCTCCTTTAAGGTACCTGTAGAGTGCACTAAAGTCACCCCTGAGCCTTCTCTTTTCCAGACTGAACAATCCCAGCTCCCTCAGCCGCTCTTCATAAGACTTGTTCTCCAGACCCATCACCAGGTTCATTGCCCTTAACAAATGGCCAATGAAAGGAAATCTGAAGCTTGGTTGCTGCTTATCTAACTTTCTATTAAAATCCACATTTGGGAAATTCTTATGTAACTGGTTCCTCCAAGGTCTGGAATATTTAAGGTGTGCATAAGACATCAAGACCTGAAGATACAGAGCTAAATTGTCCACCTTATTCTAAAAAGATGCCTACAGAAATTTTTAGACATTTTTTTCACTGATGTCTGTATCAAGAGGATGCTTTGTCATTTCAAAGGACATGCAAAGCAAGAGGGAAGAAGAGTAGTTCTCTGATATCTTTACTAGCAAGAGTAGAGTGACAGTGAGAGATAGCAGGCCTACATCAGAAAAATTCTGATTCTTTAAGGTTCTTTTCCTATCTAACCCTGTTACTGAGCCTAGTTCATTTAAATCTTTCTAGGTTTCTGTTTACTCACTTGCAAAACAGAAATAATGTTACTCTGAAATTCCTTAGAACTATTTTTTTTTTTCTTTTTTTTTTTTTTTCTTGAAAATGACAAACCCTTTCACTTTGACAGTATCTTCCTTTTACATAACTTAGGAAAACAAGGGGTAGACTACTGATACAGTCTAAAATCAGCATTTGATTAAAGTTAGATGATCAGGGAATAAGCAGGTCACACCAGGTTTTAAAAGCACCTAACTTAAGAGGATGTCATTGAGAGAGTTTGCATTGGCCTTCAAGGGATTTCTAGGGGTAGGAACAGCAATGTATACAGAGAAAAAGTGACATTCTCTGAGTTTGTGACAGCAAGTATTGGAATCAGTAATTCACTGTTATTTGTAAACTCAGTATTTGTGAGGTCTCTTCCCTTCCTACTCCTCAATCTCAGGCTGAGCAATACTAAGGCTGTTATGAGTCACTGTGCTATCCTCCAAGAGAAGGTAGGGTGCAATTCTTTCTTTTAACGGCCTACGCAGAGGTTTGCTGCTATGGCAAATGATTGCAATCATTACCTCCATCCACAGACCTGCTGCATTGTGCTGAACATGCAGGGCATAACCAGGGTGACTCTTGCTACAACCCTATCTTCATATCTCCTCCTTCTCTTTCCAGGACAAAGCTATAACAAAGACAGGGTATAAGGATGCAAGTGTGAATGTATCAAAATATGTTCACCTGAAGTGCAAAGTGCTAAGTTTCACAGAACTTTCAGCTGTCCATCTATGTGAGACAGGCAGCATCCACACCATAACGTAACATGGTATCATGCCACTTTTCCATCAGTAAAGACATGTTTCCCAAGGGCTGTTCTGCAGTCACAAAACACCATTGTTGCTGTCATTATTGTTATTATTATTATATTAGAGTTATTATCTAGTTTATTGTTATTATCTGGTTTATTTTTAAAGTTTCTGAAATAATGCAAGGGCTGTGCTGAAGTCCACCAAAGCAGTATTTTCATGGCACAACCTGACAATATGTGTTCCCCTGCTGGCTGAGTGACATCTGTGCAGGTATAAAGCTCACTGGAGCCGTGTTGGATAATTATGTAACACAAAACAATATGGGGATCTGTGTTATATGATGGTGGAAACGTACCCAGTGTATCCTGGGTCTCATGTCCCACCAAGGTCCAGCTCTTCTGAAGCCATACAGACAAGATCTGGTTTCTGGTACAGCAACTATTGGCAAGGGAGGAACAAGATGGTGAGAAAAATAATCAAGCTAATGTTCTTCCAGTACCTTGCTGCAGCTCTATTCTTTATTTATTTGTGGTCAGAGGAAAAATGGTGGCTTATTCAAGCAGTGTGTAAGAATGAAGCTTGGGAAGGGGTACCTGCACCACTTCTGCCCAGCTCTCCCTTAATAAGATTAAAATAACACAAATTCAGAATGTTTTAATATTTCAGTATAGGTTCTGCTTTGGAAGCATTCAGACAACGACTTGCTAAAGGGCCTTGCAGAGTGATTTCCCTTTCAGAAAGGACCATTCAAACTCTAAGCTATCTTATCTCTTCACAACTTATATTGTTTTAGGACCACAGGACAAAAATTGTTGAATGGAATTTCTGAGGGATTGGTAGAAATCAATATATCTTTTTTTTTTGTTAAATGTTTTAGAATCTATTTTCCTGCAATATAAATACATTTATAATATCCCTAATACTGATAAAATATCATCTTGATAATCTATTCAAACACTTAAGAGAGCTCAGTTTATGTTCTGACATACTCTGAATTTCAGTTAAAAAATGCATTCTGGTTTAACTGCCATCAATAGCCTAATGCAATCTCAAAGAAGCAGGCACAGTCTATTCAAATATGTTTCCAATATAAGTCACAGATTGCCAGACAAAGAAGAAAAAAAAAAAAAAAGAAAAAAAAAGAAAAAAAAAGCTTCACAATTAAAGACATAAATGTCAAGAAAAAAGAACAGGAAAGAAAAATATGGGAAATTCTGATTTTTTTATATTACATTTTTCTGGTTTAAGTCAATTAATCATAAATTAAAATAATTTTAATAAAAAAATATTCTATAAAGCAGAGTTAAAGAACATGACTTCGTTCATCAAGATCTAAGAGAGTTTTTCTATGCTGTTGAAATTTTAATTACTCACTCTTTCAATATTCATAAGTCACTTCATTTTCTAAATATTGAGGTGAGCAACACAATCATCAGACTAAAAAATTAAAAAAGATAGTAAATTTGGGGTGTGTTCCTGTACTTAGGGATTTTTTTATATTTTCATGTATAGCTTTGTATTTGAATATTCGCAATACAAGCTTTGCAGTCTTAGGGTCTGAAGCCCCACTATCACAAAAACTGAAATTCTTATGGAACAATATGACTACAGTAAGTGAAAGTTTCTGAGCTGTGCCAGATATTCCAAATCTCAAAAGAAAATTATGAGTTACAGTCTCTGGTTGTTACTAGAAAGTGAATTTTTTAACTTTCACAATGGATCTATGTTAATAATATGTTGATAATGACACTAATACCTTAACTGTTCACTCACCAAATCTAAATCAAGGATTAAGACATTATGGAACAAATTATAGCCATTAATATAATCATTTTGATTTTTGTTTTAAAGGTCAGTTAATGAGTTTCAAGCTGTCCTACCAAACAACATAATTGTGCAAATAGAAGTGATATTTCATTCTGCTACTTCCTCTCTCGTATGACAGCATTATATTTACATAGTACTGAGGTGCAAGATGAAGACTCTGGATAACCTAGCAATTCCTAAACTGTAATACCATGCCCTTTCTTTAAAGCCAATATTTTTAGCAACACTCTACCCTATTTTGAAGAAATGTAAAAGTTAAAAAAAGTCGTACTAAAAACCTATTCATGCTCTCAATGATAGCCCCGTGTAAATGGAGAAAACTTGACCTTAAAGGATAAGTTTGAAAGGGCTGTGTAGGTCACAGATACTTTTCTATTACAAAACTATTTGAAAGACTCACAACCCTCTATTTTGCCTTCTGTTAGCCCCACAAAGCAGCCTCAGAGACACAGACAGAGAGGCTGTGGCAATTTGCCCTGAACAAAAGATGTGGCTCTGATAGCAGGATCACGTAGCTTGATAGTTTTTGTCACCATTTGTCTGTTTGTGGGAGTTCCTGTTCACCAAAAGGGGCCTTTAAATTTTTGGCTATTCTGCGTATTTCCTCTCCCACTAAGCATATTATCATTGGTGGTTGGGTTGTTTTACTTTTTTTTTGGTTAGGCCCACTGTTTTTTTTTTTTTTTTTTTTTTTTTTTTGACTTGTGATTAGCCTTTTCCATGAGAACCAGAGAGTTTCTGGGTTAAGATAAAGAAAATGTTCATATTGGTAACTCCCTTACGTTCTACTTGCTTTCCCCAAATATTGCCTCTTTTTTCTATGATAAAATGATGTGCTAATAAGAATTAATAAGAACGTGTTGATGTTTCTTATTTTTCACATGGAATTCACTTTTCTCTGAAATATTCCCAGTGAGATAATTTTAAAGTCACACTGCATTTTTTTTTTTTCCCCAGAGTTTGAGAAGAAATTAATGTATTGAGAAACACAAAATTTTCTTGAACGGATTGAAAGGTCCTTGAAATCCATTAAGATCTCAAGGATTTATTTGGAACCCACAAATGCAACGAAGAGAAGTAAGTTTATTGAGCAAGTTTCTTGTTAGGAGCCTTCACTGTGGGATTCCTTTCCATTTGTAAATTTCTAGTACACAAATCAGAAGATGAAAACTGTGGAGAATCAGACTACCTGAAAAACAAAGCCTTATAACATTTTGAGTTAAAGTGTTCAACAGAAGTCCAAGGCCATCATTAGTATGCTTGATGTGCCTCTGATCCAAAAATATATTTCCTAGACAGGGTGGTGCCTAGCTTCACTTTCTAGACATTAAATATTGTTATTTTTTTATCTGCTATATTGAGTTGAACTCTGGTGCATTATTGCTCTGTGCTGATAATGGAGGAAACATGCTGATGTTCTTAGATTGTTTTTTATATTTGTAACAGAGATGTTCTGTGGGGATAGATGGCCACACTTGTTTCATATTTCTGTCTACCAGATACTGTACATATTTATGGAAAGCACCCATAAAACAAATCCTTACCATCAGAATAATTATGCAAAAATAGTGTAATTCAAGTAATAAGAATGAACAAATATCTGTCCTACATATATCTCTATATAGCCATCTGTTCTCTTACAGATTTTTTAACCTACTTCAACACTTCAGTTCTTATAGAATACATCCAAAGACACTTTTTTTTTTTATATTAAATAAACAGTAATAAAAAAATTCCCCATATTAAGTTCAAATCCTGATAATGGTACAATTTTATTGCTTTGTACTGAACTTATCAATCAGTGCAATTATGAGCTAATTCATTCTCATCAGTTTTGGAAAGTTTTTTGTTTTTTTTTTTTCAAATTCATATCTGATATTTTTGCATGTGAAATGCTTACAAAGGGAAGTTAATAAAAGAGCAGTTCATCTGCATATACAAAGAAAGATCATAATATAAAAAAAAAAAAAAATTGCCACATTAGAGAAGTCTAGACCTTGACTATCTGTCATATATTTTTATAGCATCTTATCATTGTGTTATCTGATTAAAAAGTGAAATGGTTAAGATAAATGAGACTTAATTAGCGGAACTGATACCTGTCTGTTGCTAGTCTTAAATGTGCATCTGGGAGTTCTGATTTTCAGAGGTGGAAAGCACACGACTGCACTCCTTCTTCCCTTTGAAATCAATGGGAGTTTTCCCTGCAGTGAAAACAAATTCTCAAGGTTTCATTCAAAGCAGACTGAAACTTCTGCAGTCTACTGCAGAAGACTTTGGGTCCCTTTGACCCATAAGCTAAAATCTGTGGAGACAAATACCAGAGCTCTGAGATGGAGGGAAAAGAGCCTAGACATGACTTCTAATGTGTCAGGTTGCAGAGCTCAGCAGCATGAAGAGATAAATAAATTGTATCAGGAATAAGGGCTGGCACATATTATTTTCTCTCTGGAACAAGAGTGACCACAATGTGGCTCAGATTTTTTCAGCTTTGCTTGTGGAGTAAAGTATTTACTTTTGAGCTCAGGGATTAGATGGCCAGTTGCCATCGGTTTCAACTATTTCAATAGGAATGGGCTGGAGCATAAGTTCCCCGCCAAACGCTCTCTGTGCAGAACAAACGATTTACCACAGAGCTCAGAGATGGGGTATTTACATTCATTTAAGTTTGGTATAAACATTTACAGAACATTAGGACAAATACCGGCATTCTCAGCTAAATGTCTGACCACAATTATTTTTGATGAATAAATGTCTTGTAGAGTGACTCTGAGTTGAGGATTTTTTCTGTTTTTCTCCTCTCAAACCAAAGGACTTTGAAAACACAGTGCACAATGCAACTAAACACACTGTACAAAGGTTCATGCAGAGTTAAAGAAAACCATAGATGTTTGAGAGATTAGGGAATGAACATCTAGATTAAACCAGTTTATGGTGTCCTTCATCTGCTGTTCTGTTTTTTCCTTCAAAATCTTACCTTAAAATCTGACCCTGACAGACATGTCTAGCTCTGTGAAGATGTTTTGTGCTGAGCAAGTACTTTTTTTAACCAACAATTATGAGCTGGCCACTGCAGAGGTACTTTTCCCACTGGAAATGGTGGCATGAGGGTTGTTGACTACAGCATGAGAGTCCATTTACTAAATATTTCTTAGAAACACCTGGCTGTGAGAATATGGAAGCCATTCAAAGGGGTCTGGAACTGCCTGGTCTAAACTGTGCTTTTTCTCCTTACTTTTAGTACAAAACACAAATGTATACTTTCCATTCTGTTTTATTTATTTTATATATATATATATACATATACATATGCATATACATATACATATACACATACACGTAATATATCTATATATGTAGATATAGATATGTTGTGCCACAAGTAAAGAATGCAAATGCAATTATTTCTGTTCAGTGCTGTCTCTAGAGCCCTTCTTCTCATGACCAATTCTTCTTCATGGTAGAGGCAACATTGACCCCTCTGCTGGACAGCATCTTCTTTAGGGTTCAAGAATGAAACTCTTTCCTACCTGTGCTACAGGAAGGGGTGAAGATAATTCTGAAACAACACTGAGAAACCAAACTTCAGCAATTCAGAGAAAGAACTTCCCAGACATTTTCTACCTATGATTTCATTAAAAAAAAAAAAAAAAAAAAAAACACACACACACAAAAAAACTGTCATTTTCTGAACATTTCTTACAACCAGAGGAGTTCAGCAATTATAGGACTAACTTAACACATCAGAAACAGTTCTGGTTTCAACTCTGACAGAACAGGGAGTCAAACCTGATTTTCAAGAATCTTGGCAGAACATGTAATTATGAGTTTATTGACTATTTTGGGAGGGGTCTGTCTTGTTTTGGGGGTGGTAATGTCTGATTAGTGTTGTTTTTTGTTTAATTGTTTGTTTGTTTGTTTTCCCATTACACTAATTTCAAGCATCTAATGAAAACATCTTATTAATAGCTCAGCATTTCTGAGTGAAGTTAAATACTTTTTGTTCTGGATACAGAACAAATACTAGCATGGAGCTTGCTGGTAAGAAAACAAAATCTAATTCCTATAACTAGACCAAACATTGAGATTACCAAGAGTTGTTTCAAGGCAGAGCTCTTCTGGACTGTTACAAGGTAGATCACCTTGTTTGGTAGGGGTCAGAAATCTGTGAAGCTCCCATGGATGTTTGGGAGCATCAGTTTTCTGGATCAAGGCCTTCAAAAAACTGGTCTCCAGGTAGAAAGGGACTTCATCCTATGCTGTTTAAACCTATAGACAGAGACAAAGATGTAAAGCAAGTTTTTGTCCTGTACTTGGTTTTCATGCAATACCATGGCAGATTAATCTTAGCTTTCAATTCCTGATTTCTACGCTTCTCACTGACATAATTTTGGTTAGGAGAATATTATTTCATCAAAAGAGAACAAAAAACGTCACTAACACCCTACATCCCTGTGAACTACTGAGGTCAAGTAGGATATATCACAGTATATAAAAGCAGAAAGAAACAGAAGAAAAACAAGCTGCAAGCATTTAGGTGAGGCTTAGATGGAAATTGAGACCACTTTGTTCCTGCGTATTTCACAGCACAATGAACTTAAACTGAATTTAAAATTGTGAATGCATCTCAGAGGAAGTGTTTTACACTCTTTATCTGAAGGTGCAAAACCCTGTATTACAGCCTGAGCAGTGGTGAATCTTGTCTGAAAAGTTACACACATATTCAGTGAGGGGGTGTGGGAGGGAATTTTAATGAGTTTGGGATTTCTGTCTTCAGTAGCTTTAGCCATCAGGTCTCTCCCCAAAATGAAGAATATTCATGCTTACAATAATTAATACTGAACAGGAGATTTATATCAATCTGACAGATAGGAGATGAAATTAACTGTGCTTTCATGTTCAATTTTAAGTAGGTCAGATAAGAACATCTATTGTAACCAACTTTTATTTTATAGATAGATATGCTCTGACACATACAGACCCACACGTACACATTATGTATGTCTATAAAAATCTCCCACACAGCAGAATCTCCTTAACCTCACATTTACTAGCTACCCATTTCTTTCCTTCAAGCTCACCTCTCTTCCCCACATTGATTCATAGGCTGTAAGGTCAGAGGGGACACTTGTGATATACACAGATCTGCAAACACAGGACTTAGAATAGCACACAGCAATTCCTACAATGCATCCCATCGGCTGAGATTGGACAGGAGCATGTGGAAAATATTTAAAGAATAAAACAACCTCCTATGCTGCATTGATTTTTCTCTGTATTTTATTCTATTGCCTTCCTAACTTACACAGTTACACTAGATCAGCATCAGTGATCTAGACAGGCTTCCTTTCTAAGTAACATTTCATATTAGGTAGTGAGAGCAATGGTAAGAATATAACTGACTGATAAAAAAAAAAAAAAAAGGTATTAGAATATAACATTGATGTGATGGGGTTTCAGTTGACTTAATTCTCTGAAGGTGTTCATTAGTTGTTCATAACATTTGGTACTTTGGAATTGAATTCCTTCAACAGATAATGGAAATGCAAAGAAAAGATGTCTCTATCCTGCAGTGCATTCTACTTGCATTTTTTTTTTTTTTACATGAACCTAAATTATAAAGAAATGAACAGCCCCTTGAGGTGTGCAGGCTTCTTTACAATGATGCTGTTTTACCTCTTTTGTAAAATGAAAAATTAAATCTGTTTTTAATATTTATTTAAGACTCTAACTGTTGGCTGTGTTAACATATGGCTGCTTGAATAAAGTAATTTATTTGTGTGTGAATCATCAAGGGAAAACATTAGAACCTGAAACCAGACTCTGAAACATTGTTTGCTAATAGTTTTGGTTAAATGTCTTGTTCTACTTTTCCATCAGATATTTTCTTCCTCGTTGAAAAGTAGAAAGAAGGGGAATTGGAGAAGGAAAAAATAAGAATAATCTCAATAGACATGGATTTATGTCAATAGACATAAATCATTATAAAAATTAATATAACTGATTAAAAATGCTGCCAACATTTTCTTATGGAAACTATACAAATCATGTTTTGAAATATTACAGTGATCTGCCAGAGGCGTGTTTGCTGTTGGACAAATGCTACAGTGATGTGACATAGTGACATAGTCACTAATCAATACCATGTACTTAACTAATCATGCATATAATCATAATCGTGTCCTTAATTACTTGCTGAATTGGGGACAAGTCCAAAGTCCATATAAATCCATGGCAAGCCTCTGCATGGGATTTATCTTAGTCATCTAAGTGATTTTCTAGACTTTCTTACTAGTTAGTGGAAGAAGATAAAAGGATCAGAGAGACTTCATCCCACCAGTGACCCAAGTGTCCTCTTGACCCCATGGATTCTGAGATTCAGCTTCACAAAGAGGGGTGCAGTGCTTCCACATTGGGTATCTCTCAACTTGGGGCTGGAATCAGTTTTGGGAGGTGAATCTGCTCTTGCTGAAGAGCATGCAGAGATCATTGGAGTTATGGGAAGAAAAATAGTGCCACTAATTTTCAGTAGGAGTTGAAATTAGATAAAGTGGACCTACGTTGGATTTTCAGTTGGACTGTTTCTCCTAAAGCAGCCCAAGAGAGGTACCCTGTTGAAGTGCCTGAAGGTAGGTCACCTGCACTGCTGACCTTGGGACAGGACCTCAGACTCAGACACACCTACAGACCTATGCTTGGATGGGATGGAAAAACTCCCCATCTTATGCAAAAAGCCACTGCCTGAGTGGGCACTGGGGTCCTGCAGGTTTGAATTGAGGAGGGAACAAGAAGAAGGGCTGTGAGTATGTAATAGTTACTTAGTGTATTTCCTCTTGTATGTGAGCAAAAAATGTAACACAAAAGCAAAGGGAGAGATAATCAGGACAAGTGGGCTGCTTTTTTTTTTTTTCTTGTTAAGAAACTTTATTTTAAAAAGTCCCTTTTGGTAGCTGCAACCTTAACTTATCATATGAATCAAAAAAAAATGAAACCGAGTGAGAAAAAAGGTGAAATTGTCTAGACTGAATGAATTGCAAACAGCATGGTGAAAAGTAAATTAGGAAGTTTAACAGGCTTTCATTTTTAATAAGCTGAGGTGTTATCAATAATGTCTGTAATTAATTTTTAAAAAAGATGTTCATTTTAGATCAATAACATCCCTATGAAACAGCCAAGACATGACCTTTTATCATATTTAAACAGTAAGGTACCAGCTCAATGGTGGAATTGTAGCAATTAACATTAGTGAGGATGATACCATATTATCATTTCAAAGTTGTCAACCAAATATAAATATATATTTTAACATTGATAATGTATGTATTTCCCTTTGTCTATTTTCCTTTTTTTGTAGTGATGCTTTTGAAGTGTGGAAAATGAGTGCTTACAGAGCTGACAACAAGTATTCTTGAAACTGTATAACTTCTGATTCTCAGGGAAGTTTTCTGTAGGGGTGCTAAAAATATGAGCCCCCAGAATAGCACGAGCTGACCACTGCAAACACTGTAATTTAAGGACCTGTGTGCTCTTGGGTCACGTTTAATAGTTACATGTGGGCATTTGAGTTTTTTTCCCATGAAATACTTGTCCTTGAGATGCAGGCTTTGATGCAGTTGACAGGCAAATAATAAATTCAATAGCACATATTTATGGGTTTGCTATTATAAACATGAGGGCAACATCTCCATGAAGATACACAGGTCTCTCCTCCCAAAACAACAAAAAAAAAAAAACACAGCACTGATCATGGCAGAACCAAAGTCTGGTGAATCAGACCTTTAGCTGGCTTAGCAGCTAAATGAAGCTCCAGCTCTTTGCTGAGGAACAGATCCTGTCAGCCCCTGCAGGTAAATGACTGTTTTTGAAATCAATGTCATATCGATGACAGTCATTAGCATGAAACCATAACATTTGTGAACTGCCTTTTATATGGTGTGGGCTGCTGGCATTTAGACCAACAGCTACAATTTTGCTATACAGGAAGCAAAGTGCTGCAACATCACACAGCTAGAGACAACTTGATTATAATAAACCTTATATCCTTTTTTTCATTTTTTTTTTCCCTTTAGTGCTCTGTTCTTGTCTTTCCTCTTTTTTTTTTTTTTTTTTTTTCTAAGAAATTTCAATGAATAATCCTAGAATCATCTTAACATCATATACTTGAAACATCTCCGTAAGCACCCTGAGCATTAAAACAAGACAAAAATACTGAAGATGACCTAAGATATATTTCTTTATGATTTTTTGTAGAAAGCTTAGTTTTATAAGGGATCCACCCTTCATATTTCCTTTGTTGTTGTTTATTGTGATCATATAAGAAAGCAAACATGGCTGTATACAGTACATAAGAATACATTAAGAGAAACTTCAAATTAGCCAAACCATAGCTCCTCATTTGAAGGGAGGGGGAGAAGTATATATATATACATTACAATATATACAATATATATATATATACATGCACACAAGGTTTATTTTTTTCCCTTGCTGCTTATGTTGGGGGGAAAGTACCTTGTTCTTACAAGATAGTTCTACCTCCTGTTTTGAACATGCTGTCTGGGAGACAGTATGTAGCTATTTGCTTGTACATTATGAATGATTTTTCTATATGGAAAACCTGAAGACTTTATTACTTTTTTTTTTTTTTGTGTGTGTGTGTGTGCGTGACTTTAATGTTTTTGATAACTAAAGTTCATGAAAAAGCCATGTAATTGGTACGGAACATTTTTTTTTTACTTGCATCAAGCACCATAATCTTTGAACATTAGAATAATTTTGCATCTAGCCTGGGGTAAATTAGTTTCTATATTTTTTTTTTTTTTATTTAACTTCCCAGCATTATTTATTTTCAATTTGAAATTCTTTTAATATCAAAGTGGGTGTAATTAATTCTCTGTTTCTGATGATCTGAAAATTAAAATGAAAAATTACAAATAATATATCAAAGAACTTTCATAAAATATACCTGACCAAAATACTTTAGGTTTACTGAACCTACATATCCATTTTTGTGAGGATTTTTCTCCTTGTATATAAAAGCCATGCTTTAGTGCCATCTAGTGCACTGAGAAATCACAAATGAAGCTTCCATGAATGTTTATACTCCTGTCTTGCAACAAACACTTAAAAACTCTAGATTAGAGACATGGTTATGATATTAAGTAAACAGTCAAATGACTCTTAATTACCCACTTGGAGTGTGACTGCGTATGACCAAGGGTGAGTATAAAGCAAGAGTTTCAGGTCCTCTCTCGCCAGCAATCGCTGAAACTGAAAAAGACTCAGCAGTTCAGATTTAATCTCTTTTCCTTTGGAAAATTAGGGTTGTCTTGAAAGAATTCTAGCTCACAGCTGAAGGTTTGATTATTGTTCAATATACAAAATATGGTGTGTGCACAGCCTGGGTTCCTCCTATTCCATAACTGAACAATTTTTGTCTAATGACAGGAAAAAATAAATAAATAAAATCAACAACACCAAAAACCCACTGGTAGAAAATACAGCTAGTAAGAATAAAATCATAAACACATATTTATCTTTTTTTTACCTTTTTTTTTTTTTCTCAGAATTCATCAACAGTCAATCAAAATTCAACCAGTAGGCGTAAGCTTGACAAAAATGTCTGACCCACATATCAACAGGTGAGATACTGCCCTGAATTGCTCTCTTTTTCATTTGATTCATGGTGGCAATCCCAAGAGGAGAGTTTGGGCTGCAGCATGTGTCCAGCTAGCTGTTTTACCAATGTTCTCTGGATTTTTGAGCATTACATTTGTTATCAGCATAGGCACTCTGGTGGTGTGTATATGATTCATAAATAGCTAGAAAGGTTTGAGAGGTTAGAGGATTTGATTAGATGATCTGAGGTTAGATATTTTTATTGGAGAGGTTAGATGATCTGCTGAAAGCATTCAGATCTTTGGAGACTGAGACACAGATTATCAGCACAGATTTTACAGCAGGTACACACAGGTTGTCAAGTTTGACAGTTCCAGTGCTTGCAAACAGGTGGAATATTTCCTACCCAAAATCAGTGAAAAAACACTGCACTGGAACACTTAATGTTGGAGGGGTGGTGGTGGTGGTGGTGATAGTTTTGATGAAATATTGAGACTTCTTCTAACAGTCTTGTTAAACAAGTTATCTGTGCTGATACTCTATTTGTGTCCCTGATAAAGATTCCTCTACCTTTCTTTAATATGCATTTAGAGTCTAGCAAAGCAAAATATTTTCAGGTAAAACCAGATATTCGCAGTGAGAGATCACAGTTCATTGCCTGCATGAATTGGTAACAGCTGAGGGTCAAGGTAGAAGCATGGGGAAAATGCAAAACTTCCCCAGAAAGAAACCAACCACTATGGTTGGCAACTTGGGGATGTTAAAAGAATGTGGGAATATTGCAACCCCTTTTCCAATACAATAATAAAAAGCAAATTAAAATCTTTCTTCTGCCTTAGGACTTTTGGTGACCTGAGAGCAGAAATCAGGAGGAGTTCAGCTGAAGCACTGACAGCATCTCTGAGCTGGAATAATATGCATTGTGGTGGGGCCCCGACCTCTGCTTGGACTTCCAGGTGCAAAGTCATGATAATCATCCCTTCATGAGAACATATGCTGGGTATCAGCTGGGAATCAGGACAGGAAGGAGGATAGGAAGGAAGGGTGCAGCATGTCAGATGATGCCTCCACTTCACAGTGGTAAAAAGGAACACGGGTAAATTCTTCATGCTGATGGCTGCATGACTTTCAGACCTATGAGCTGGATGTAGCTGTCCTGTACTGATAAGATCCTTCCCCCTCAAATCACAGCCTTCAGGAGCATCAGGAGCTCTGCTTACCACTTGCTGGCCTGCTCCTGCCTTGCAAATAGAATAAAATAATAGCAATCTTGTTAAGAGAAATGTATTTGTCAGCACTCTGAATTTTAATGTGAACTGGCAGCGGATCTCAGCGATAAAGAAGAAGTCTAATGCGGATGGTAATTTTGCAGGGACCTTGCTAACATATGTTATCCACTGGCTTTCTTTTGTTCACCGCTGTGAATTATCAACTGACTCAAGGCAATAGAAGGAAAAAAAGTTATATTTCTCACTGTGTCACTTTCCTAACATCATCCAAAGCTCACTGCGATAATTTAATTTTGCAGAGAAAGCACCGAGTTTATTACATTTCTCTCCCTCCTCATCCCTGGTATTTTGTAGACAGGTATTGAATGGTGATTGACCAGAAGTTGTGACTCATGGTTAGCCACAGGGTCCCACAATATGTTTAACAAATTCATTTTTCCCAGGGGAAAAATAAATAAATAAATAGGAAAATATCACATTTCCTAGTCCTCAAGATTGATCCATGATCAGAACCAAACTTTCCCAAGGAAAATCCAAGAGGCCTTGCAGAACTGGTATGATTAAACAACCCAAGGAAATCTTCCTCTTAACCTTTAACAGTTTTAGAGATAGCAATATTTTTCTATGCAAAATATCTCTGTTAAAAATAGGGGTTGTAAAAAATATGAATAAACATAAATCTGAGATTGTTACTTTTATGAGAAACTTTGGTGATGATTTCAGAAATTATTTTACTACAAACAGTAGCTGAAGAATTGCAACAAATGCACTGAAACTGTGCATTTATACTGTTCAAATTGTGAAAATTCTGAGGATGTTAGATCTAAGCAAACAGCTACTGAATGAAGATGTAGTTCCTTCTTTGATTCATTTTCAATGTCCAATATTTATGCTAAAATCATTTCTGTGGATAATCCTGAGCCATTCTGCTGTAGCATTCTGAGCCATTCAGTTTTCTGTGCAGTGAGGAATTCCCCAGGTTCTGCATTCAAAAGGAATTTCCTTGATCATCCATAAATGCAGTCTTCCACCACTACAGCCTCAGAAGTTGTCTCACTAAAACTATTGGTTCTAGCCACATTTTACACCAGTCAGCAGAATTTGGCACATCATGTCAACATTTCTGTGCACTAGAAATCCCCGCTGTCCACCCCAAATTTAAGCAGCAGTTCTTGAAAATGTGGAAAATAACCTTTAAAGTCATCATTAAGAGTATTGCTGGGAGTGTCATATAAATATCTTATTTACAAAAGCATTGAATACCATATGTTCAGAGGGAGATGTGCCAAAAAGTGCTAATTACACTGTTATTTAATGCCAACCAGGTAATTACGTTCAGCCCACTTAAATGCTTGCTGCAATCTGGGTTGCCTCAGCAGCTGAGGAAGGATTAGTGCTGCCCCATATTGCACGTCAGTGCCCTTTCCCTGAGGGCACCACGTATTGAATCAAACTTCTGATTACGGATCCAAACCTCACTGTCCATTCATTCCTCTGCTCCTTCTCCTCCGTTTTCTAGTTGCTTTTCTCCACTCAGATACTCAGGAGTTTTGTTTGTTTGTCTGTTTGTTTGTTTTTTTTTCCTGACCCAGTGACATCTGCAAGTCTTTTTTCTCTCTTAAATTCTTCCCACTCCTTTAAATACTTTCTGTCCTGTATAGAACTCTGCTGTCTCCTGACTTATCTTCTGATAACTGGGAGAGAGGTGGCCATCATTTGCTGAACATGGCCCATCTTCCCAGCTGATCAGTAATTGTCAGCTTAGCTCTGTTGAGTATTTCTGCACTCTCATTTTGAACTATTTGCTTAGCACAGATATGCTGGTTCAGCAATAGGATTAATGTTCAAATTCCTTTCTATTTCTCGAATCAATTTCTGGTCAAAAGGCCAGCCCAGAAGCAAGGTAAAACACACACACACATATATAAATGTATACATATTTGGAACATTCCTGGAGTGATTTTTAAGGATTGTGCCAACAGATAGCTGGGGGGAAGCATATAAATATGATATGCGAGGCTGATCTGCAAATCTAATCCCAATCATTTGCAGGCAGCAAAACCACCAGGTATGGTGGTCCTGAGCACTATGCACTTGTATGCAAAAAGTATGAAACGTACCGAGCAACCAGTGGTAAAATTTGTCATCACTTTAATGCAGTCAGGAGGCAATTGGAGACAATTTAACAGATGTTTCCATATTTAAGCCAGAACAAACTAAACAGATTAATTTCCCTACTTTCTCTTCAGAAGCAAGTGCCAGAAAGATCTGTGTCTGCAATTTCACCATGTAACACAAGGAAAAAAAAATGTTTTGATCACGTCAGCAGCAGCAAAGTCAATGTATGTAGTCAGGGGGATCTTAGAAACCAGAAGCCAGGCTGCCATGGAGGGGTAACAAGGGTACAGTGAGATCTATTAATGCCTTATCAGACTACTTTGAGTACAATAAATTTAGAAATATTGCATGCTACTGATATTAACTAGAAATACTGGAGCAGATTGTCTGTGAGTATGAGAAAGAATATCTCAGCCCAGCACTAAATTTGTCATTTTTCTGAACTTCAGGGCAGGTTGAACATCATGCCTTTTTTATTATTATTTTTATTTTATTTTTCCCCTATGCAGTGTGTATTTGCCAGAAAGGGATGAAAAGCATGCTTACTCTCTGCCAGTGCCATCTCACTGATTGCAGAGGGGTGTCCCAGGGCACACATCAATGATGAACACAGCCCAGAGGTCACAAGCTACCTCTCAAATTGCAGGACTCCCACACTTAATTCACTGCTCTAATTATACCATCAGCTGTCATTAGTCCTGTTATTTAGATCTGTCATCCTGACCCAACAGAGAGGGCTGGGGGTGAGCTAGTGCTCTGGGTCTTGTGGAGGCATTAAGGGTTGCAGTATCCAGGGATCTTGCACCCAAGATTGCAAAATGGAGCAGTTTTGAAGCAGCTGGAGTGGAAACTTCAGACGTGAGATGGTTTTTACAAAGCTGCTTCCTCCTTCTGTACATGCGTACAAAGGGTTGCTTTTCTGATTTTCTCACTCCATGTGTCTTGAAGTTTATTAAGACTCACTCTCCAAAGCAAAGAGGTCTATTTTAATGACAGCAGTCCAGCATCACAAAAAACACCATGTAATTTCAAATAATATTCTATTTTTACTCATAACTTCCCCTCTTCATTGCTCTGGGAGGAGGGAGGAATAAACAGAGTGAAGGGTTAAGTCTCCTACCTTGCCCAGCAAGCAGTGAGTTTGCGTGGGCTCACTCCTTCCTGAGCACCCAGCGCTCTCCACCCCAAACGTGAAAGTTGTGTAATAACCCCTTCCCTAACCTTGACTCAATCTTTGCCAGCTCGGTGATTCACCACGGCTCTGCCACCTGCTTTCTCTGGAACTGTGAGCCGAAACCCCAGCTGAAAACAGCTCATGTGGAGACGCAGAGAGCTGCTGTCCCCACAGCCCACTTCTGCTCAGGCTCCCAGCCCTGAATGACAGCTGTGGGGTTATATTTATCACAGGTGTGTATCTGACATTAAAAAAGGGGGGGGGGGAAATGCCTTTCCTTTGTGGTAAGATTTCCCCTTCGTCTGCTGTTTTGAAGGTTTTACAGTTATTAGATAGTCATGTTCATGATTGCCTCATGAAAACTTTGCTGGAGCTTAAATGCGTATTCTGTGTGACAACGATTTTAGTCCTGGCAGGATCTAAAACAGGGTTTTAATCCTAGTTATGTTCTGTTCCACTTAATTGCCTTACCGAACGCTTGCACTCCGTATAAAGACAATCCATCTTTTCCCCACTTGCTTCTGAAATAATCATTACCTTCCTCTGCAGAAATTAAAAGAAAAAAAAAAAAAAAAAAAAAAAAAAAAAAAAAAAAGTGATGTGGGTTAGGAGGAAATGACATTGAAAACAGACACCCAAAGATGTTTTTGAACAATTCCAAATGTTTCTTATGCACTTCACAGAGATCCTTGCTGGAGCTAAAGGAGTTTTAATGAAGGATTTTTCCCTCCTCCCTGCACCATGCTGCTTCCCCTCCCCTTTCCCATTCCACAGAGAAGTTTCCAAAAGTAATCCCAAAAACAATATTTAGATGACTGAAATGTTAGAGCATAATGTTACTGCATAACACAGCACACCCAGGACTTTCCTCTGGGATGGAAATCTTTTATTTTCTCTATATTAAAGGAGAAGTAAACGTGTTGAGGACAAAAATGGATGCTTGAAAGGTTATTTTGCATTTTTTGCCATTTTCCTACATTTTTATCACTTTGAGCAAAACCATTATTTTTTCTAGGGAATGGATTGCTGGAAATAGAATCTGAATGCCTTTGGGGGCTGAAGCACTTTCTCTTGGTGATAGATGCAGGCCACTCTGCTCAGATCTCTCATGTGCTCCCTGCTCTTTGCTCCTATGTAATTTCTGAGTGTACAATTGGATCAGGTACCATTTATACAGCCTACTAAAAACACTGATATGTTTTCCTTGGCTTTCAAGTCAACCCAAAACTAATACTTTGGTCTTCATATGGCTTTTGTGTAGTCTCTAAAACAGTGGAGTCAGCCTTCATCTTTAGCAAGCCAAACCTTCATCCACAGAGTTGATCAGGTCAGTCTTTTTTTTTACAGAATCCTGGCCACAAAATTCATAGCTAAGATATTCCCAGAATTGTGTGGGACAGCCATCTTTCTGGGATAATGAAGCTGTGACAACAAAGCACTTTGTTGAGAGATGTTGAGATGATTTGGGGGCAGCTCCTTGCTCTTCCCCAGACTTTCTGTTTGACTGTGGGCAAGCCCCACCATTTCACCAGGAAGTAGTTTATCATCTCCAAAATGGGGTTGATTAATCCTCTGTTTTACAGTCAGAGAGGGTGAATGAATCCACAAAGAAATATTCTGGTCTTGTCTTCCCCAAAGAGGTTTTGGTTTCAGTGGAGATTCCCAAAACATCTCTAAACTGGCTCACATAGGTAGCATCAACAGTTCCAAACACACTACAGACCTGCTTTAAACCTAGCTCAGGTATATCACAATTATAGAACAGACACAGCAGTGAATCATGTAATGAGAGGGATAAAGACAGATACACCGGCTGTTTTTTAAACACTGAATCTATGGCAATAACATGTTAAGACCAATAAAAAAACTGTTATTAACCAGTTTTGTTTTCAGAATCAACCTGCTTCTCATATCTATTAAAAAACTTGTGCTGTGGTAAATTGCTAAATTTTTTTTTATTTTATTTTATTTATTTTTTGATGTGTCTGGGTTTTGGTTAAAAAATGCCCACTTAAAATTCACATTTCCCATTGCATCAGAGTGAGCTTAGGTCTTGAACAAAGGAGATCACTGTTTTTTCCACATGTGAAAATCTCAGTGGAAATTTGCAGGTCCTATAACCACTTTGCTGACCTAGTCAGCTGGCCACCTTTTTTGATGCAAAATGTTTCACGTGAACAGCTCCTGTTTTATGCTTTGTAACATTTTAATGTGACTCATGAGAAGTGATTCATATTTCTATGGTATTCACCAAAGATCATACTTAGAAATTGAATTCTTAGAAATTTTTAATTCCCTTGTGTAGGAGGCACTGTGGGTGCTGCACTCAGGTTCATTATGATAATGCGATCTCAGAAGGTGTTGCATAAGCCAGTTTACAGTAATAAATAATAATAATCACAAAATTCACAAGAGTCTCAAGCTTCTTATTTAAAGAAGCCAAGAATAATATATCTGAGAGTGTTATTTTGTAAGAGTAACAATAGTTACTCTTACATTTAATGTGTGTGAGTGAAAAAAATAACAGTAAATTACCTAATAATTGAGCAATAAGATGGAATTTGAGGTCCAGGTTTGAGTCTTTTCCTTGCTAATGTACTTCCAGTACAAATTCATGCAAATTACTGATGCTCCAATAGTATTTTCTCCCATAAAATGTGCTATTTGATTATGTTTTTGTCCATTTTGATCTTAAATTCTCCATCTGGAAAAAAAAAAAAAAAAAGAGGGGTAATTGTTGAGCTTATATATTGTTTATCAAGTCAGTAAAGTAATGAGTAAGGATGTCTAGAGGATACTTATGATTTTTGCTAGGAATGCTCAATGCTGCTTTTATGTAGCTAAGAATCAAGTAATCATGAAAATGAAGAATTTTCATATATCTTTTGGATAGCAGTTTTTTTTCCCATTGCTTAAATGTATCTTGAAATTGAAACAATATATGATTTAATTTTTGGTACTTGGGTGCTCTGCACAGTCAAATAATGCATAAAAATTTCCTAATTTAACTATCTTCAGGCTCTTTCACTCTCTTTCTTTTTCTGTGTGTATGCGGTGAAGATGGGGAAAAAAAAAAGTGTGGACATTAAAATCAAGAACAAGAGAAGGAAAAGAGATAAGATAGTGGCCTTCTTTTTATTATTATTATTAGTGTTTTTTGTTTTTTTTTTCCGTTTATGAAAATTCAAATTTTAGATGAAAGTTGGCTCACATTTTCTATTTTGTCAGAATTAGCTGACCCTTGCAATTTCCATTTCTGTCAATACAGTCATCTTATGGTAAGCCCTCAAATGATACTAGTATCTGTAGTGGGAATGAAGCAATATTCAGCTAGAAGAAGGGAACCTCTGACTTTGATCTCATATATATCAGATCCTAGATTTTTACATTTTACATTAAAAGGTCATTGGACAAAGTACATTAAAAACCCTTGTCATATCAGAGAATTTAGATTCTATATTGACTCCAATCTACTGTAATGGCAAACCCTTGCAAAAGGTTGCCCTTAGATCCATGACAGCGTTGTTGACATGAATGTGTCCACCCTGCTTGGACCTCTATTTCCAACAGAAGAAATAACACAGGGATGAAGATTAAGAAGAGTAGAGAAGGCTCCAGGGTGACCTCTTTGCAGCTTTTCAATACTTAAAGAGGGCTTATGAAAAAGATGGAGATCAACTTTTTGCTCAGTCAGAGAATGAAAGGACAAGGGGGGACGATTTTCAACTAAAGGAAGGGAGATTTAGATTAGAGGTTAGGAGGAAATTCTTCACTCAGAATGTGGTGAGGCACTGGCACAGTTTGTCCAGAGAAGTTGGGAATGCCCCATCCCCCGAGGTGTTCAAGGCCAGATTGGAGGAGACCCCAGACAACCTGATTTGGTTTGTGGCATCCCTGCCCATGGCGGAGGAGTTAGGGCTAGATGATCTTTAAGGTCACTTCCAACCTGAGACATTCCATGATTAAAGTAATGTTCACGCAGTTGCTATTTTTCTCCAAGTAGAACAATTTGGCATAACTACAATCAAAAGATGATTGTAAAAACCAGGAACTTTGTCAGAATGACCTTATGAATTATTTTTGCAAGGGATGCCTTGATAAGGGTAAGATCCCTTTCATGCTGTGTCCATGGCCAGCAGCCCCCTCCAAACTCTTACACCAAAACCTGCCACAAAAGGGTTCTATGAAGTCCTTACTAGGTTCCCTTCATCTTTGTCCAAGCTTTCACTTTTGTTTTGAGTGAAAACTGAGATTAGAAAAAATGATCTGGTGACAAGATACTGTAAATGTTCATTGTGAAGGAAATTTTTTTTCTTTTTTTTTTTTTCTTCCTGAGCTGTTCACCATATTCTACATTGAACCAATGCATATAGCTTATGTGCAGCTCTTCAGCTTCACAAAGGTACACAGAAGCAAATTTGCGTGTTTTAAAATACAGCAATAAATATATAGGAATCTGTTGTTGTTATTGTTGTTGTTGTTGTTAGTAGTAGTAGTATTAAAGACTGAAAAGGGATTTTTCTCTGTCTTTTCTGAGCTTTGGAGCAGACATTAAGGGAAAGAATAAAAGAAAAAGGCCAAGCAAATATGCCTACTTACTACTTTTATTTTTCTCCTTTCATATACGTTTTTGATGTTTTAGTTAGAAAGTATTAAATATGAAGGTCTTAACCCTAATGACCACATTTAGTTCTTAAGAATTTTTTCACATTCACCGATTAACTCAGAAACATTTATTTAGAAGCGGTAGAAAGTAAGTCCTCCCAAACAGTTGTCAAGTGACAAATGCATTAAAGGTTAAGATAATGTCCATGGCTCACTTAGGTAAATACTATCAGTCTGAAATCTCCTTTTAAGGAGGAGATAACCAAACCCACTCAAGAAATAACAGCAAACAAAGCAAGACAAAGTAAACTCACATTAAAAGAAATTAGTACCTAACAAAACAGGGTAACAGCTTAACAAGCTACTGGTGCAGCACAAATCTCCTTTAAGTACCAGGAAATAAGCCATTGAACCTTCATCACTAAAGTGAAGTCCCCACTTGTAAAACTTCAGATAGCTACAAACTCCTTTGATTTGATGCAAATCAGAAGGTGTTTTTTTTTTTTTTTTTTTGTTTTTTTTTTTTGTTTTTTTTGGGTGCTATTAGCTTCTAATGTATCTAAACACTAGGTGAGCTGAGAAAGACTGGGGATGAGCAAACACAGGATAGTGTATCCCATTGACGATG